ATTTTGATGTTGCTATATTTATTTGTACAGTTTGTTTTGTTTTGTCTGGATATTTCTGAAATATCAAATGCTATTATGAAAGTATAAAATACATAATGCTGAATTATGAAAGTGTAATAGTTTTATACATATAAAAAACAGATGAGAAGGTACTATATACATGTGCATATTATTGGCTGATCTCAGTACTATGTTGATTTGTTTGCAGTGATTTACATAAAATTAAAATATGAACTTTTCATATATTTATAGTAATAATAAAAATAAAGTTTGATGTTTTTTGTGTTGTTCCTGCAAAAGAAACAATAAAATTTACGGTAAATTTTACCATAAGAAAGAAAAAGCTTATATTGCTGTAAATCCAAACAAAACAAATTAGCAATTTACTTGAAATAATTGCACACAATATACAATACGTACCTGTTCGAAAACCGCTCACACCGCAGCCTATTCAGTGCCATTATTTATTTTTCAAAAATTCGATCTGCGAGAGCAACATTGGCAAAGCGAGAGTTAGCGGACAAAAGGCGCAAACAAGTTACATCTTGACGAGTGTTTTCCTGCTTAGTGATAGATTACAACAAGGAGCGAGCGTCAAAATCAACCGTCATCGCACTCAAAACGCGCCAATCGAACGGCGCGACCAATAATAAAGCGACAACGTGTTTTTTCTCGACGCCGGCAAGTAGGCGCGGATATAAAAGGGAAAGCAATCTCGAGCCAACTCTCCTTTTGTTTCTCGTTGTCATAATGTAAAGAATCGCGCCATTTCTCTTGATGTATTCAGAGGGAACTTATTTTGTTTATTAATTTTTTTCTTTGTGACTGTACATTTTCTTTGATATTTTATGTGACAATATAGTTATTATATTTTTTAACTCTGCTGAACTTGTGTGCCTTCCACCCCTTGTACGTTTTTTTAGTGAGTGTGCGTGAGAGTGAGACGCAAACGATAAAATTCTCTTTCTTCCTCGAAATTTGCAACATACCTAAAAAACTTTATTACAGAGTATGTAATAATAGCTGTATATTGGCATTAAAGGTAGATGCTAGAGAAATTTGTGTGGTTTTCAAGTCATCATATTGAATCCATGATTCGTCTCGTCTTCGAGAAATAGCTGTAAAATGGCCTGGTGATTTAGTGTCAGAGCTACGTTTTGTGGAAGGTCTTAAGTTGATTACACCTCTCAAGTTGTAAGGATTATTCATAAAACTGAATTGTATTGTAAGTGGCACGTCACGAAGTTGTGTTGTTTTGTAGATGTCGTCTATATCATAACTCTCGCATATTATAAAAGAACCTGCAAAAATACNAAAGTAATAATATAAAACATTTAAAAAGATAGATATAAGTATATCTATCTTTTAAATATTATTTAGTTTTTAGTAATCATAACCTTAATACTTTTGTGCGCGGACTAATGAAACCAATTAATTGGTTTAAAGAAAATACATTAATCAAAAAGTGTCGGATCCCCCTAATATTTTCAGTAAGAATGCATTTTGGAAAAATGTCCAATAGCAAAGTTGTACGGCTTCAAGCGGTTATGCTAGTAGGCTACGGCGGAAAACTGCCCAAAGGTGATCGCGAGAAGTTACTCGAATGCGTAATGTCCAAAGGCGTTAGCGGGAATCTGCCCAAAAGCGTTGGCGGGGCCGATCTTTATTCTCTCACTTTCGCAGGCACTAATGTACGAGCTCACACGCCACTCTTGTGTGGACCCACAAGTCACTTTTGCCTTAACTGGCCAGCATCACACGCCACTTAACAAATTGTTAATTTCAAACCTTTATAACTCAAAAAGTACTTAATGAAACAATGTTTTATTATAGTGTTTTGGAAAGCTCTCGAGATAAGCTATAAAAATATGCAATAAAATGTAGGGGGTTCCATTTAAAAAAATAAGGTTGACCTTGAAATGACCTTAAAGGACATGGTCAAGATCAAAGTCAAGGTTATCATCTTACTCCTCGCTTAAAACCATACAACTTTGCTGTTGGACATTTTCTCCAAAATGCATTCTAACTAAAGATATTAGGGGGTTCCGATACTTTTCGATGACCCTGTATATATATATATATATATATAGTGACCAATTTGTAAAGAAGAAAATTAAGAGTCTATATTAAATATCATAGAACATTAAACTTCAATGTTTTTGTTTACCTTATGTCTAAACAAAGTCAATCTTTATACACAATTTTTATTTAAAGGACGTATAATATTTATATATTTATACTTTTTTCCGAGATTTACAATCTTAGAAAAAGTAATATTATTGATGATAGTAAAACATTTCAAGATACATTATATTTTTGTAGGAATTATTACATATAAGTGAACTGAAAGAATTCAAAAGTGTTTTGAATCAAGTGAATATTGAAAGTTATTAGTATTCTTTTTTTATATAATTTTATTTTGTAAATTATGACAAGAATCTATATTTTTCAGACATAGAATCTCAAAATATTTTATTCATGTTGTACAAAATTCAATTAATTTATATATTATATTATATTATATATTATATTCATATGATATGTTATATGTGAATTAAATACTTTAGGATTGTGCATCTGTAAAATGTAGATTCTTTTCGTAATTTACAAATTAAAAATATAGAAAAATTCTTAATATTAATAATATAGTTTATTTATATATTACATGTTTTTCAATATTCTAAAACCTTTCAAATTATCACAGTTAACTTATATTAAGAATTAATAGAAATATAATAATATAAATGCATCTTGAGATGTTTAACTCATCCTTATCAATAATATTATGTACTTTTTCCAAAACGTAATCTTGGAAAAGCATTTTGCGTTGTCATACGTTGCAAGCGCGCAATGTGAAACGTTGATTTCTACTCTCAGTGCTTGCTCGCATAACAGGCTTGGTGGAAAGGAGACGGAACATAGTATGTCCGCACTCTTCCACGAGCCGAACAGCCGAGCGTGACGTCACGCACATGGACGGCGGTTCTCGCTTGTGTGCGTGCCCCCACCACCTCGATCCTCTTGGTGCTAGCCTGCCAGATCTTTCGTCACTGGTCGATACCCCGGATAGCGCTGATGTCACGTGAGGTAGGTCGCGCGGGTCAATCAAGCCTATAGACATAGTATATCTAGACCGAGCATATGGGAGTGGGGAGCGAGGTCTACGTAGAAAAGGACACACTCTGCTTGATGCTTTTCGTTCTTTCTCATTCACGCATGCGCATATACGAAAAATTACAGTCTATAGTGGGGGTATAGAAAATAGAAGAAAACGATACGTAAAGAATGTTTCTGTTATTCCGTGTGATATTCCAATTTAATTAGAAATTGAAAGAATACTACTTGAAACAATACTAAGAATCAACTATATTTTACATATTTTACGTTAGAAAACAGTGGCTTATTGCTGTGTATGTGGGAAAGAATACAATTCTCTTTGTCCTCGACCATTTCACAGGTAATGTATAAAATAAGGTTAGAAGTAAGATTAGAATAGTCTTTCGTTAGTAATACAATATATTTTTAGGTTTCCAGCAGATGCT